TGTGTGTGTATATATATATATATATATATATATATATATGTGTGTGTGTGTGTGTTTGTGGGTGAACGGTCATAACTTAGATTACTTTTCTCATTTTTAAACACCCACAAATAAAAAAAAAAAATTGGCTTGTTTTGCATAACTGAATTAATATTTTGTATATATTTTATCACAAATAGGATTGGTGGTGGTAAAGGACTTATATCTGAACCACCTAATCGACAAAGTTTGCAACCAGAATTTAGGCAGAAGCTGTTCTTTGATTTTGGAGACTTCGTCTCCTCCTTGAATGGATGTTATAGTAAGTTCTTCCTTTATTAAAGATAGAATTATTATTTTACCAAAGTTTAAACATACAAAATTAAAGAGAATGCAACTGACAAAAGTTTTATAATGTATGTTGATTAGTTGAAAACAAATACACTATTTAATTGTGTGTATATATATATATACATACATACCAGTTAAGGTATATTGACCATATTGTTTAATTTAAGATTTGAACATACAGTAGTTAAAAACATATATTTATACTAGTAAAGATATCATGAGCATTTTATATAATTTTGGAATCCAAATGTACAGAAATAAAAAAAACAATCTAGCCTGATGATGGCTTCATTACTAGTTGAATTTGATTTTCACCAACTTGATCTGTCTTTTTTTCAAGATATTATAAAAACTTGTCATGTAGTGTATTTTTCTACTTTTATCTTGTGTGATGTTAAGGTCACAACATGTTAGGATGTATCTTTTTGTAATGTATTGGTGTATATTGTATGCATTTCCTTTTCTCTTTTTTTACAGTAATGCTGAATCAGTAAGTTAATTGCAATTTTTTACTTGTTTATGCTACCACAGAAGGTCTTTGATCTTTTCTAACTTGTACAATATGCAACAAAAGCTCTTTTCTTCCTTTGTCCATACTACAACAGGTCTTTGATCTTTTCTAACTTGTATATTGTGTCATGTTATTGGGCTGCCTTATCCCAAACTTTTAATTTTTCCTGGTACCGTAAAGTTTTTACCTCTCCTATCCTTTCCCTATTGTTACATTCCTTCCAGATTCCTTGTTCAACTCGGCATGCAGTCCTTCCAGATTGGGATGTCAGTGTGATTCTTACTGCCTTACTTTGTGCTCGATTTCTCACTTATCCCTTAAGACTTATTTGCTAATGGCCAATGAACATCGTCGGTTGGATTTATTTGCCATTGACATTTCATTTACTCTTTATCATTCTCCATATATTCTCCTTTATTCAGATTGATATTTCCTTCCCAAAACTTCAGCAGATTGTGAGGGTAACTCCTCGCCGATTTCCTTTCCTTCCATTTTCACCATGACCAATTGGGTTTGGCTTTGAAACTGATTGACTTATTCTTTCTTGTCTTCTTCTTCCTCCTATAATTTGTTCCAGGTATCTTCTCATCAGAGCACCTTACCTTTCCCCTGGCATCTCATCTCTGTTGTCCCTTGAAGGAAATTCTTCAATTGAGGATGTGGAATACACCCCAAATGTTCATATCTCACTATCTGCATTGGATTGCTGTTTCTTCATTGTCAGGTTATTATCCTCTGCCTGTTGCCATTCTTCAGACATCAGTGAGGGTGTGATTTGGTAACTTATCTTTTGTATATCTATATGTTCTTTCTCAGGGGTTTTTCCCTTTCTTTTTCATTTTTACTGTATGGATCCTGCTCTATGGCAAGTGGTGCCTGACCAGGAATGCTTCAAATAGTCAAATCAGCACTGTCAGGCCATGTTGACTTCATATTTATAATTTCATTGGCCATAAAATGCTCACTGTTAAGATGGGGTGTTTCACAAGATCACTTGTAGGTTTTTCCTCACAATATATTTACTTCATTAATATGCCTGTTCCAGACTGTACTCATCCATGCACTTCACGGGTAAAGCAGAAGGGGATAGTTGTCCATCCCTGCCATACCTCCGATTGATTAAATCAGGTATGGTCTGCTTTTCAAAATAGGGTTTTTGTGGTCACTCATTGTACTGTCTTTTGGGTTGATGTTCCTTTGTACTCTCCACTGCATTTTCTCCCCAATTTTTATTCCAGTGGAATATGGGAGTTCTTACCACTTTCCTGTTCTAAGCCATTGGGGTGGTGAACCATGAAGTCATCCTCCTGAATGTGATACTTATTTATGGTACAAATATTGTTAACACCATTCAATTGAGAGTAGGACATTGGTGTTCTGCTGGTGTAGACGACGGGATGTCCTCCAATCTGATGCTCCATCTCTGTATGGGTTTATCTGGGGGGATGTTTTAGCTATAGAGTGAGCCATCATAATTGCAGTTCACCCCTTCAGTTGGTATCTTTCATCCTACCCCCACATGGATGTCAGTGCCCAATAGCTGGGTTTTGGATTCAGAGCTGAACCAATCAATATAAGTCCTCCCACATGTATTATAGGTGTCTCTGTTTCTCACTCATTTATACTCTTGTTCCCTCCACCTGTGTTTTGGGTAATGTTGAACTTGCAGGTTAATAC